TTTATCTCAGAGGCTTAGAATGACATTTGAGGTAAGATTATCTTCATCCAAACCTATCCCCATAGTTAAATAACTAGTTTAGATGATTAATATGATGTTGAATATGTGTTTTCATGCTTTAATCTTAACCTGAGGTGTTAAAAGTCAGATTATTTTTTATAGTAAACCTTAAAATAAATGCTAGATGAATAATCATTTCTTGCTATTTATGATAGTATCATGATCATGATCATTAGGGTTTTTCATAATTTTATTCATATAGGAGAAATTTAAGTGATGTACTACATATATGTTTTTCTGCAGAAAACTACAGCACTTATATAATCTTTTATTAAGAGTTTAAGATAGCAAACAAACTCCAAATTTAACCAAACTAGTTTTAAATGAAATATATATGTATCTAATTTCTAAAACAGAAAACTTTTCTTAAAAAGAGTTTATATAAAGAAAGATATGTTATATTTACTAACAATATGTCCTATAGAAAAACGGCTGCATATATATAATGTTTAACTGGAGATTTGGGATAACAAATGAATTCCAAACTGAACTAAACTTATTTCATTTGAAAGATGTGTGAATATAGTTTTCAAAACAGAAAACCATTTGTAAAAAGAGTTTTCCTAGAGAAAGATATACTTGTTTTACTAACAGATATCATGTCTGTTTTTCCTGCTCGTTTTGTGGAGCTGTGTTGCGCTGTTTTGAGGTGCGTTCGCGAAGTTTTGAGCCGCTTGATGTTACACGTATAGTCATGAATATGTTATGTTAGACATTTAAGAATCCCAAGGGGATTATGAGAAATTTTGATTTGATCATATTGAATTAGATATAGTTCATATACATGTTGGATGTCGTTGATGAGCACAGCTCAGTACTATATGGGATAGTGCGTTGACATACCAGATATACACGGTTTATACATGAGGTGAATTTCATTGATGAGCACAGCTCAGCACTATATGGGATAGTGCGTCGACATACCAGAGATACAAAGATTTATATGAGGTGGATATCGTTGATGAGCTCAGTTCAGTACTACATGAGGTAGTGCGTCGATATTCCACATGTACAGGCCATTGAGTCGGATTTTAAGAGGCTTGATCTAGCCGTCCGTCCAGCACTAGGGTGCGATGAGGCTCGTGAGTCGTGTTTCTAGGATGCCTATTTGGTAGTCCGTCCCACACTCATGTTACGCACTGAGATCGCGATGAGACTAATGAGCCGTGTACACAGTTCAGGATACCTACAGGGTAGTCCGTTGTACTGAGATAATTACTTGATAGCCTAAGTATGGAAGATGCCGATTATGAATACGACCTATCTTTGAAGATGCCGATTATGAATACGACCTATCTTTGAACTATATGACTGAGATACGTTACTTTTGAAAGTATACAAAATTATGTGTTGGTATTTTATTCTATCTCCATAATTAGCGATTCACAATTTAAGACATATGGTATATACATGAGGGTTTTCTTGTTTGGATTATTTCGCTCGACGTACCAGTCTCGTGTTATGGATTTCTAATTGTTGGTTTCATTAGATTGTCTTTTCTTAGTTCGGTATTAATGTTTAGATATCTACAATTTGAGACTTATGGTATATACATGAGGGTTTCCTTGTTTGGATTATTTCGTTCGACGTACTACGTCTCGTGTTGTAGGTTTCTAAATGTTAATCCTAATTAGATACGGGAAAAATGAATCTAGGTAAACTATGCTTAATAGATAGAGCCTTCACTCCATCTAGTAGCCCTTTCCCTGAGGGCAGATAGGGGTAATCTTGCTGTAGCGCTCTGACGCTCTTGTTGTTGTTTCTTTTTCTTTTAAAAATACCTTTTCAGATAGTTCGGAGTTTCGGAGAGCCGCAGGGTGACGGAGTTCTGGCATAGTCGCCGTTGCGTATTTTTTTACTTGTAGAGACTCCCCTGTAGTTTTGAGTTTTATCCAGACATTAGAGTTTCATATTCATATTGTAAAGACAGTGTACCTTAGTACGATTCTTAGTTGATTCATGTTGAGACATTTTTATTATTCAGATATCAGATGTATTATAGTTGAGATATGATTCTTTTTATTTATGAGATATCTCTTCTATATCATGTCTATTATATTTATTCCCTTTATTTTGCTTGTTTGTACCTGCACTTCTATTTGGTTCTACTAGAGGATATTACTGTAATTGGTGAAACATGTTTATGCATAGTGTAGGTGCATGGCAGGTTTGACATCTCTGGTTTCACCTTGGACTGCAGCCTTGTGTGAACCCAGGGGCGTCACACTGTAACTGCTAGTTTTTTCAGCCTTGTCCTGTTTTGGTTTTTTAGTCCTTTTACTTTGTTTTTCTTGTGTTTTGGGGTCTCTATAAATACCCCACATACCTCAGACCAAAAACCAACTAAGAGAGATTTAAAAAAGAGTTTAAGTGTGTTTAACAATTGTTTAAAGTTTGTTTAGTTTTTTTTAAAGCTTGGTTTGTGAAGATTTTTTCACAAGAGGAAGTGGAGATCAATTCTTGGTGTTTGAGCTTCAATTCATCTCTCTTACTCTTGTCATTTTAAAGAAGTTTTTCTAAACTCAATTTCTATCTTTATATTTACATTATTTATTGATTATCATCTCGATAAGCTAGATTTTTATAATTGAGTTTAGTTTGTTTTGATTATACTCTTTATTCATACACAACTTATTGAGCTTATTGTATTTGCATACATAGTATAATTTGGGGTTGTGGGTTTGTGACTTAGAGAGTGAGCTTACATTGTGTTTTCATCCATTGTAGAGAATAATTTATTTGTATTAAGCGCTCAATTATGAGGATTCACTTTGTATTACACAAATACACCAAGAGGATTGTAGAGGTGACAGACGTGGTCGGTCCCAAGAGGAGTGGGGTCGGTGGTAATGCCTAGAGGGTAGGTCGTAATTCTGAACACTTGAGGGAAACACGTGAGAGGCCAACACTTGAGGTGGGATTTGTGTAGTTACATTGTGAGACTGTGATCGTTGATCGGTGAGCGTTAAAAACCGATATTGTGTGGTGTAAATGTTATTCGGGTGAGCGTTAAAACCGGTTGTGATAGTGAATTTCTCCCTGGGAGTGGGGAGCGGAGACATAGGATGGAATGTCCGAACTCCATGATCATTAACTTGTGTTTTGTATTGTTTCATTTGCCCACTATCTTGTTTATTGTGTTTATATTTATATTGCCCATATCCTTGCTCATATTTGTTGAATATCATTCTTTCTAGGATATATTGTTAATAGTTTTAATTGGCATTAATATCGAATTAGATTAGCATAACGCCTATTCTCCCCGCCCCCTCTAGGGTTTTTTCTAGTGGCATTAGGTATTTTTAGATAGTTCACGTGAAAGATGAAGGAAAAGGATTAAATCGGGCATGATATTCTTATATACACAAACGAGCCCGAACCGAAACAAACCTGACCCAAAAACAGAAACCTGCTTCCTGTGCACCCGTCGGTCGACTCATGGCTTGCCATCAGTGGACTGATGAGCACCTTTCGGTTGACTGATGGCTTGCCATCAGTCGACCGACCAGAGATGCATTCTGCCGACAGTTTTGTTTGTGTTATGCATGTTTACACTATTAAACATATGTATATGTACTTAATTAATCTCAAATCGATTACAGCCATACACATTCATCCTAGATTAGTATCAAACATGATAAAAATTATTTAATATTATTTTTCACAATATATTCAAATTTATGGGGTTTTACAGATGAACAGTACCGATCGGCCAATGAAAACCCTTGGAATTGTGAAAACGTTTCTGCTCGATCGACTATGAACAGTATTAGTCGACCAATAAGGTCATGTGCACATTTCGTGCAAGTTATCAGTCGACCGATTAACAATATTGGTCGACCAATCGTAGTCAGTTTGCCAGAAACAGATTCCTAATCTGTTTTAGTTTTAGAGTTGATATAAATAGAAACACGTTTTCTAGGGTTTTTTAAGAGAGGTGATTAATAGAGAATTGAGATTGTTTTGAGCACTTTGAGAGGGAGATTATAGTGAGGGAGTTGAGAGCCTTTGATTAGGGTTATTTTGAGTATTTGAGTGAGTTGTAACCCTTTGTATTTCTCCTTCATATAGTGAAATCTCTCCATCCTCTTCCCGTGGACGTAGTCAATTGCCGAACCACGTAAATCTCTGTGTTTGTGTTTGGTTTGTGCCATTCCTTTGTGAATTGCACTCGTTGGTTGGTCTTCTCCTGTTGTTCGCCGACTCGTGTGGGTGTTGGTTCATGCGCACACTTCCGCCGGGGTGCGCAACACAAATCACGTCCCGCATGAAATTTCATAAAAATGAATTATACTTGGAATTATTATGTATTTTATCAACATAAAATTCATGGAGATGAGGTTGATTTTAAGAAAATTTATAACTTGTTTATTGAGAAACATATCAACGTTAGCGTTAGTAATCTTTTAATCCCCATTGTCAGACATGATCATTGGCACTTTGTTGAAGTTGATCTTCAGAATGTTATAGTGAAACACTATAGCTCTCTCGACCCCCTTGCTTACAAAGAACTCATTCTGTTAATGATAAATTTTTCAGACTACGGGAATGCGAGGTTCACCGAGAAGAACGTTGATCATGTCTTTCAATGGGAAACAGTGCCCTGTGATGTTCAAAAGGATCATAAGTGTGACGCCCCTGTTTTCACATATGGCTACAGTCCAATATGAACCCAGAGATGTCAAATCTTCCATGCACACATACTGTACAACAACAAGTTTACTAATCACAGCAATATCCTCTAGTGGAATCAAAATAAAGTGCAGATACAAAATGGGCAAAAGAAAGAAAATAACTACAATAGACATGATATAGAAAGAAGTATCTCATAAATAAATCATGTCTCAATGAACAACCTGAAATACAACTGATATCCAAAATGAATAAATATGCCTCGACAAGAAACAACTAAAAATCGTACTAAGGCACATTATCTTTACACTATGAAATAAACTCTAAGGTCTGAACAAAAATATAAAACTACCGTGGAGTCTCTAATAAATCTCATGTGACGATGACTATGCAAGAATTCCATCATCCTATGACTCTCCGGTACTCTGAATTACCTGAAAGAATATTAAAAGAAAAAAAAGCAACAACAAGAGCGTCAGAGCGCTATAGCAAGATCACCACCATTCGCCCATAGGAAAAAGGGCTGCTAGATGGAGTGGAAGCTCTATCTATTAAGCATATTCTACCTAGATTTTTTTCCCCATATCTAATGGAATTAATATTTAGATACATACAATACGAGACGTAGTACGTCGAGCGAAATAATCCAAATAAGAAAACCCTCATGTATATACCATATGTCCCAAATTATAGACGTCTAAACATTAACACCAAACTAGCGATAAACAATCTAAATAAAATCAATAATTAGAAATCCACAACACGAGACTGGTACATCGAGCGAAATATTCCAAACAAGGAAACCCTCATGTATATATCATATATCTCAAATTGTGAATCACTAATTATTGATCCAAACTAAGAAAATAAAGAAAAATAGTAAAAGAAAGTAAAGACATCAACATATGATATTCATAATATCTTTTACTGTCACTGGGAAGATAGAATGAATATCGGCACAAATCCCATGTACTTTCAAATGCAAAGTACTCTAGGTCATATATTTGCAATGAGTCAAAAACATAACTGGCATCCGCCAACGACTCGGGCTATCATTTAACTATCTCAATGCAACTCCGTACAATATTTTGATTCATCACATCATCATGCGGGACAGATTTCTCGGTTGGTATCCTAACAGTGTACACGGCTCAATAGTCTCATCGCATCTCTGTACGTAATACGAGTGCGGAACAGACTACTAAGTAGGCATCCCAGGAATACAGCTCACAAGCCTCATTGCACCCTAGTACGGGACGGACTGCTAGATAAAGCATCCTAAACTCGACTCAATGGCCTGTACAAATGGAATATCGACACACTACCCCCGTAGTACTGAACTGAGGTCATCAATGATATCCAGAAGGTGTGTGTATAATATGTACTAAAACTCTTTCTCAAAGTAACCGGGTCAAAACCCATGATAATTACTTTCAGCATACCCATGTGTGTGCTACTATACTATTTATGAATTTATGTATAAAGAAGTGCGGCTCAAAACCAGCAAACATATCTCAAACAGATATAAAATAAAACTTCAGGCAACAACCTTAGTAGTCGACTACTAGGCTTAGTAGTCGACTACACTCAGTCCATCTAGGCTCTCTAATAACATATATCAGTATCAGTAGTCGACTATTAAGAATATTAGTCGACTACTCTGCAGACACACAGTTTCAGTTATACTCAACTGGGCACAAGTAGCCGACCACTAAGCTTAGTAGTCGACTATTCTGTCAAGACACGTATTCTTTCGTGCACAAATAATGCTTATGTCAATTGAACATAACATGACGTTAAAGCGAGACTTTATACTTGGCATATGCAATAGGAATTATCAAAATCATCAAATTATATTATTATATCTTCCAAATTAAGGTTTAACATCCTAATTAAATAATTTCTTCAATTATCTCATATGTAAACAAAGTGACTATCAACATATGATAAAAAGTACTCATGAACAAAGGTAAAATTTATTTAAACATATTTATCTTATTTAGGTATCATAAATTTAGGGTTTAAGTATGATTAATTAACGTGAAAACTCAAAGAAACATTCACATAATATATCAATTATTTCAAATCAGCATATCTGCAGTTTTTTGTAGAATATATCATTAGTAAATTGAGTATGTCTTTCTCTAGACAAACTCTTTTTAAGAATAGTTTTCTGTTTTGAAAACTAGATCCACATAGCTATTATTAGGTACTAGTTTGGTTTAGTTATTATATAAAAAATACACAGCGCACAATGCATAAATTCACCACTTACCTTAACTTGACAGACAATCCAATCCAATTCCCGACGTTTCGACAGTGCCTCTAGAATTTCCTAAAGATTAAATTCAAACAACCATCAATATGATCCTCCTATAAACAATTGATACTTTAACATACTAAGCCTATTTAAAAGATCATAATCTATTATTAAACTTTAGCAAAATAGTTTCTGTTTTTTTTTATTGCTACAAAAAGACAAAAGAACCTATAGCTTCTATCTAAAACTCAAACAACTAATATTCTATCTTCTATAAGCAACCTGCATGTAAGCATCTTTATTAATTTATCATATAAGATGATATAAGGTCTAAAGGAATTAAAAGAAAACAAGTGCTTCATTATACCTATCATTAGACAAAAGTATTGAAAGGTCTTGGATTTTGTTCTATAGCCGCAAGCTTAATGAGCCTTCGGTCTCAAAACACATTGAGGAGCAGCGCCGAGATCCGGCCCGATGAAGGGGAACGCTCTAGGTTTATTTTTTTTTTTGTCGCTGTGGAGAAAAGAACTAGATAGATAAATATAGAGGCGGCCAGATAAAATTTACACACAATAGGGTTTTGGGGTATTTATTGGAATGCTTTTTGTCATTAGAACCCTCTAACAAATTTTACATAAAAGCCCATATACTTTTCCTTATATATATAGCCAAATAAAACTTAGTATTATTACATACTATCCCTCTTAACAGAGGTTTTGTCCTCAAAACATGAACATATTTGAGTTGTCCATAGACCATGTAATTATTTTCTTTAAACTCCTTAATCCGACTATGATTGTACTATGAACTAATGTTATCATCAGCGCATACTCAAATCTCATCCAATAATTTCATGAGCATATTTGCTAATAATGGTCTGCTCAAAAATTTATATCATATTTATTGTCAATTGACAAATTTGGGATATTATATATTATACCCCATAAAAGAAGTTTCGTCCACAAAACTTAGATACATGACAAGTCCTCAAATAGATCAAGATAATTCTTTTTCATCACATTCTCATGCAACCTATTGTTTCTTCTTCTAAATGACTTTTTTTTTAACACAAAAAGAATTCATTGGACAAATATTTATTGATCATCAATGTTTAATACTTTTGATCCAAAGTCGCATATAACTACTTTGGACTATATAAAATCTTTCCTGTCATGAGAGCTTCATAGATTATCACATGAGATATATTATAGGAAACTAGAAGTAAGCCATGAGGTGATGAAATGCTACTTGATACGTCCACAATCCTCTCCAAAATATAAAATGTAACCTCAAACTTTAAAGTCTCTACTAAGATGAAATCTCATGATGTCCTTTACATGTAACATGTCATGCTTCTCAAGTGAATTAGTGCTGTAAGGCAAGAAATAAGTCAACTTAGTAAGTAAATCAACAATACTCTGATAATATCATGACCACTTGATGGGTTCAGGTTTGTGGCCAAAGTCTGTGAATATCTCCTTTCATTTCCATGCATAATTTGAAAACAGTTGGAGTAATCCAACAAGTCTTCCAACAATCAATATTCATATTATGCTATCATAATAGATATTTTGACACAAAAGAAATTATAATTTTCATTTCCAAGTATTCCATCAAAATTTTCTTGTAAGTTTGTAAATAATTCCATACTTCAAAGATATCTTTACTATGCAAAACAAAATGTCTTCTAATATTTCTGCCTTCAAGTTTGGTTCATCGAGTAAGCATGATCTGATTTTGAATCTTACGACCTCATTATGAACTAAAATATCATAACAAAAAGTTTGTTTTACCTCAAACTTAAATCCAACCAATAAATGAGCATTACTTTTTGCTATGCAATTTTCTCTCTTGACACATTCTCAATCTTAAGATGGGTAGACATTATTCTTGGTCTATAAATTCAAATATTGATTCACCTCAACCTCCAATATTTGTTTTGATTGGTCGATCAAAATATGATATAATTTCACCCTTTTTTCCAATGCATCATTGAATTCATTTGCTAAGATAATAATAACTTCTATCTATAGATGTCCCTTCTCATCATATACAGACAATATTCTAAAATCTTTACATCTTGGATGATTCCTTTTTATTTTGCATAACACTACACCTAAAACAAGCACTGGAGGCATCAATGTATGTCACAAATCTATCCCTCAACTCATGATATTCTATCTTACACTTGTTGGAACAATGAAAATAGGTCATACATTCAACAAAGGATCAATGCCATTGAAAGCTATTAGTGCATTAATAAACTATAAACAATCCTTGATCAAAATTCAAATCCAACAACTTCATATAAAATTTTAGCTTGTCATGATGTTGCAAAAAAATATTCCTCAAGCATTCTTTTACCCATCTTGACTCTAGAAAAAATAGATATACATCATCAAAGAGGCCACTACAAATTGATCTAGTTATGATTAGACTATCTCCTTCACTGAACAAAATTATGAAATCCACCAATGCATTGTCATCTGGTTGGTGTCATCAAGGTATAGTGTCATAATTCATAATAACAATCATCAGTAACATTAATCTATGAAATACTCAAGTTATGTACATATGCAACTATTTAAGTAATAGCCACATATTTTTACCTTGTATTATACTACACAAGCTATGTATGTAGTTCCTTGAAAAAAATTAAAACTAATAGCATTCATAATCTTCCACATTTATAAAGTCTATACTTCTATGTTTCTAACTAGAATTCATACATAGAGTTTTCTATAATCATTTAACCAACTGAGTTAGCATACTACCTACTAAAACATCTCAAAATAAACCACCAAATTTCTTTTCTATAAATCTCAAATGATACTCTCTCACATCAAGTGCCATCACAACCTAACATCACTAAAAATAAATACATTTAGCATGAAAGTTTAATCATAATAATCGTCAATAACTAATTCCTGACATATTCCTTATCATAATAGCATATATTATTAGATAATATTTTCATGAGTCACATATGTCAAACATGCCTTCAACTAAGCTAAACTAATTCCTTTACCTCTAGGAAAACTAAACAAAAAGAAATTATGTAATCCATGAATCTAAAATCATTTACCTCTATTACTAAATTTGATCCAATAATATTCATATTGTCCTCGATCAGACTTCAAAATAAAACATCAACTCAAAATTAATTCTTTGCCACTTGCCGGTCGATCAAACTAATTTACCTATTTGCCCAACATCAGGACATTTGGAGGTATTAATATCAACTAAACAACTTAAAAACAAAAGTTCATGCAACGAGTCATAAGACCAAAAGACAAACTTTATAATCTCTATTACAAAATAATTTTCACAACTCTATATGGTGTCATACTTTCACGATAGAACATATATAGAACAATTTGTCACTTCCAAATACTTTCTCTTCAAAATCAAATTATTAAGGACAAACAATCATAATCTCAAATCCTATCGCGAACACATACTCATATTCCAATTCCTATTTTATCTCAAGCTTAATTTTTCATAAACCACCAAAAGATTTTACTCTATTATGACACAATTCTCTCAATCATGTTTGAATCTTAAGAAAGCATCTTTCCATAATCCCTAACTCAAATATCAACATTTAGCCTTCTATGTCTGCAATATATGTGTCTCCTTAGTAGCCAAAATACAATGCCAAAATTTAACTTTCTACTCGAGATACCAGTCACCATATTCATCTTTCGAAGACAATGAATGTTAAGATTATGACTTTCCTTAGTTCTACCTAATTTCCTTTCCTCTTGTCAATATCCTTCCTGTACTTAAGTTTTTTTTTTCTGATCAGATTGTATGACACATATCTCACATTGATAATGTTCCCAAATCTTTCATGAAATCACGAGGACAACTTCAAATAACGAGGATAATTTGTCCATAGCAAAACTTTGATTATGATAGCACAAAACCATATAATGCATATACATTATCATCATTATCATCGCCTATCCTAATCGTTCATGATGTTGCCCATAGTGAACCTTTAACTCATACGAACTCATCATTATCATCGCCTATCCTAATCGTTCATGATGTTGCCCATAGTGAACCTTTAACTCATACGAACTCATGTCCAAATATTTGTTAGTATCTATGGCTATACCTCAAAAATCACTTTGATATTGTGTTACCATTTGATCCAACAATTTCACCCTACATCCTTGATCATACTTCAAAATAAGTATTCAAGTTTCCATTTTTTTCACATAAAATCCAATATTTTTTATTTTTATTTTTTTTATATCATCTCCAAACACAACTAGGACCTACAGCCTAATCTCTGATACCATTCTGTCACGACCCCAATTTCCGAACCTCAAAGGAATATTAGAGCCGGACTAAACCTGTGAAAAGTCCTCCAAAATATACATTCATTAAAAGAGCACTAAAACAAATCTCTTCACTGAACTAAAACCAACAGCAAATATTCTCTATAATCCCAAAAGTCAACTAAGCCAATTAACTTGATAAATATAAATATTCCTCAACTCCAAATAAATCTCAACCTAAAGAAAGAATCTCATTATTAAAAACTCTCAATTCATCATCTAAACATTAAAGCCTTTATTTAACCTTCGCCTAGAAGACAATAACAATCTCGAATTATTCTTTGCTTCGTTCTAAGAATTTGACAATCCTCAATTCCACCTAATCCGAGTCTCTGAAAAAGAATAGAAATAACACAATGAGTTCACAACTCAATAAGTGGATAAATTCATACATTAAACACTGGTTTTGCAAAACTAAAATATTACAACGAGAAATAAACAAAATATAAGAATGATATAGAATCATTAATGAACTCTAGTATTTGATACAAATATTTAAGAAAATTAGAAATCATGGAATAGAAATAAGCATGCTACGTCTCAATGCGGTCAACACTTCATACTCCGGTTGACTCGGTAAACCCCACAATTATTAAGCCCGTGGTTCCGGGACGGTGAGACCCAATTTGGGCTCTTAGCGCTAAAATAAAACCTCATAGAGGCACATTGAGTCCTGTTTTAATAGCTTGCTTATATCCGACATATACCGGTATATTGACTTGAGATGCATATGCTTTAACAATAAACAAAGTTCGTAAAGCTAATCACATTATACAAATATGCCAAAGGCCAACCAATAGTGAAATAAATCAAACACATATGCATCTCAACCTACCACTATATGAATAGACATAACAATTGATAAAGAAAATAAGCATAGGCTTATACCAAAATATCCATGAGCATCACAAAATCAAACCAATCAACAAATGATATACCAGTAAATCATACAAAGGAATATAATCCATCAGGAAACAAATCCACATATACTTACTATCATTTTGTAGGAAAAATACGCAATGCACAATGCATAAATTTACCACTTACTCAAACCCAAAAGACTATCGGAATACCACTCACGACGTCTCCTCGAAGTCACTTGGAACCCTAGAAAAAAAAACATCCCTAGAATTTCCTAAAGATTAAATTCAAACAACCATCAATATGATCCTCCTATAAACAATTGA